CCCTTCCAACCCAAACCATTCTGGGATTCTGTGATCCTATTCAAAATCTGGATGTCCCCTGGTCTTTGGGAAGAGCAGGGTGAGTCAGGTGGGAGATGCTGTTCCATCCTGCAGGATTGACTGTATTTTGTTCTTGGAGCCTTTGCCTGATGGGGTTTTTCTTGCTGAAAATGGAAAGAAAACACCTCTACAAAACAGATTTGAGGGCGCAGTAAGGCTGAGTTTATTGAAAAGTTTCTCCTCGATTGGTCTCCATGATCAAAAACCAAGCAGTCGGCAGCCACTGCTCTTTTTCATCCTACCTTTCCTTCTGTTGCCAACACTTTGGGCAATGGTAACTAAATATTGTAATTGTAATTCAGTATTACATTCTGGAAGTGGTCTGGAAGGGTTTTATGGGCAGACATGATAGTGCTGCAGTTTGGGCTGAGGCACGAGGGGTTGTTGGGCTGTGCTCTGCTCTTAGGGCTGTGAATCCCAAGGAACTGTTCCCCTGAGGAATCCACAGGGGCACGGGAGGCACCAGGAGCTCGGGGAGCAGGTCTGTTCCTGGGCTGTCTCCTCCACCCCCTCACCTGGGCTGCTCCAGCTCTGCCCTAAGAGCATCAGGGGCCACAGATTATTCCTAATCCGGGTCATGGCGGTGGCTCAGCTCCCAGAGCAGCCTCAGGGACAGGTGTGGGGACACACAGCAGTGCCACCCTGGGCTCTGAGCTTGCAGGAAGGCACTGCAGTCCTCAGCAGGAGGATCCCTGTGGGTTCCTGAATAAGTAAGGAGGGCATGTTGTGCTGAACCAGAGCATGGAGCTGCCTGAGGAGCTGGTGGCTGACAGGTCTGTGCTGTAAACAGAGGAAATGCTGCAGGGCCTGAGGGTGAGGGAGCCCTGCTTTTAATGAGGTAATTGTTATTTAATAGTTTTTATCCATGTCAGGAGAATTTTGGACCTCGCTTACACTGCCAAAGCTGGTGGTAAAGCATCAACAGCACGGCTGGGTCGATAAATGTCCCTCAGGGAGGCACCGTGGCACCTTCCCAAACCACAACAAACTACCTGGCAGGAGTTTCCCTTCTCCTTCCCTGCCTTCCCACCTTTTGTGGGCTTTGGCCAGCACAGTTATGTCAGCTGAGGGAGGAGATATTTTTCTTGCTCCTAATTGACCCATTTGTGCCAGCAAAGCTCCAGTAAGGTCCCCAGCCTCAGGTGGAGTTTTGCATTTGGGTTTTGCTTGGGGTTTTTTAGCAGCCAGGTTATACTAGATGGAGAATTTGTCTTTGCTTGTTCAGGCTAGGATATTGAGACAGACCTGCCTTTCTGAGGAAAAGCAGCCCCTGCTCCTTCTAGGAAAGTCTCCATTTCTTGGTAAACAATGTGTTTTATAGTGGTTAAATCTGAGGTGGAAAGTAATAGGAATAAATGCGATATTGGTGCAGTTTGGCTTGGCTGTCAGTTGGTAACTCAGCAGCATCTCTGGGGAGAGCAACCATTTAAAATTCTCTCTTAGTAGTGCTGGTTTCTGAATTTCTGTCACACTTGTCAGCCTGAACACCTCGTGTGGAGACCCAAGCTGGGAGTGGAGCAGATGGATCACATCCCTGCTTTACTACTGGGACAATAAAGGTGGAAAGGGCTGACTGTTTTATCCACATCTGCTTAGTTTGTAACACTGGTAGATTTGTTCCTGGTCCAAAGCCGATGCCTTGATTCCCTAATTTCCCTGCAGTCACCAGTTCTGGGTGCAGGACAAGTGTTTGTGGTGCAGCAGGAGAGCACTGCTGGCACTTGTGGGGCAGCAAATGCTGGGGACCAATGTTTTGGAGCAGAAAACATGGATTCTGCAGGAGTCCTGGTAGCCCTTGGCATTGGTGCTTATCTAGAAGCTGGGACTGCTCTTATAAAGCAGCTTCATCTGTTCATCAGCTCCATCTAAACCAAAATGAATTAATGAATTCATGAATTACTCTCTCAGGATCCATCATGGTTGGAGGGTCAGTGATGCCAGAGGGCTGGGAAGCAGCATGGAGAGGATCTCACCTTTCCCTGCAGGAGGGGGCAGCTCATGAGCAGATCCTTCTCACACACCTACCTGCTCTTTGTTCTTTTAATCACCTGTCAGCACAGACAGGACTGCTCGGATTTTCTTGCTGTTCTCTTGTTCTTCCCCACCCAGGAGCAGCCTCACGGCTCTCAGTGAATCATTCCTGTGTGGGTCTAGCACTCTGAGCCTGGGGTAGGCTGAGAAAGTCTCCTCCTGAGCAGGCAGTGACTTGGGGGCGAGGGAATGTGTGACCAAGGAACCATTCAGACCTTCCAAGGGGCTGTGGAGAAGGGAATTTCTGGGGACCAAACCTGCCCTGACAATCTTGGGCTGCTGCACCAGTTCACTAGGGGAGGGAGTTTGTAGGAGTGTGATTAATGGTGCAGAAAACAAGACAATTATTTTAACCTGCACTGAGTGGCTTAAAGGCAGAGCAGATTTATTGTGTTTTAAAAACTCAGGTCACTTTTCTGGTCATGAAGTCAAGCATCAGTTCCAAGCCAAGTCGTACATCTCTGGATCATGCAGGTGCATCCATTGCACCTTTTCCTGGTTTTAGAGCCTGAGGTGACACCCAGAAGTCACTTGGTGATCTGGTCACCAGCATTAGTAGTAGAATTTCTGCAGGACTGGAATTAGATGCATTTTTCTCCATTTAAAATCCATTCTCTGATGGGCTCATTTTTCATTAAGTCAAGCAAGGCACTTCATGAAGAACTGTATGTGGAGTGTGTCAAATGATTCAAACGAACACGCAGATGTTAATATTTGCTTTATTGGTGTCAGTAAATGCTTTATTTGTCTGTTTGCCTGTTATAAAAGCATCTGTCTCAGGTCTCTCACCTCCAGCAGTGTTGTCCAGCAGCCTGAGGGTACTAACTTTTGGAATTCCACACAAGTCAGGATGAGACTGTCTCCATTTATCCTTGAGCTGGGCTGATAGGAGATGATAAATGAGCCCTCACTTTCCTGTGATGATGGATACAACCAAACCCCATCCTAACTTTGTTTGGCATGTCAGCACAATCTGTTCCTTTATTGTGTGTAATTAAAAAACCCCATCAAACTGCAAACACTCCTTTAATTAAAGCCCCCACAGCCACAGTTTGTCATGCTCAGTGCTCTGTGTTTGTTAAATGATCTGGGTTTGATTGCTGAGGATGCACAGTGGGGTTGGGGGGAGTTTTTAGGGTTTCAGGTGTTGGGATGGTGCTGAGGATCAGGGTGGTGTCACATTGCTAAAGGGGACTTTGTGCAGAGGGAGAAGTTTGCTCTACTCACATATGTGAGTGGAATCATGTTTATTTATTTATATATAAATATATATAAATAGAGAGACTGCATCAATACCTGGTAAAATAGAAGGGAAAATACTGAGCTGTGTAAAGGCATTAAACCATCATGAAGTGGTATAACTGTGTTCTTGGGACAAGGTTTTTCCTGTTGCCTGGTTGAAGAACCCCCTGCGTGAGGGTGTTTCTCTAGCCATCTCTGTTTCTCTGTTGTGCTGAGTCCCAGTTCCAGAGCTACTCCCTGGATTTCTCCCTGTGACCAGTGGTGACCCTGAAGGGATGGGCCTTTGTCCCCAGGGGTCATCCCTGCTTTGGCACAGCATTACTCTGCTGACTTTTGGTCACAGTGTTTGTGGGTTTAGTGCAGGTGGAATATGTGGCTGGTTGTCTTTCCTCCCTGGGATGTGAGGGAGGAGCAGGGCAGAGCCATTGCTGGTGCTGCAGGAGCCTTCACAACTTCCTGGGCTGTAAAGGCTCCCTCACAAAGCTCAGCCCTTTATGCCCAGCGACTTGTTCTCTTCAATAGAGCTCTTCTGTTGAAGTTAAACTGCTTTTAAATCATGTACACAATGGCACTTTTGTCGGGGAGGCCTCTCCCTTTCACCCAGGGCCTCAGGAAGAGGGGTTGACATTCCAGGGCATTGTTCTGCTCCCATTCAACCTGGGCCCAGCCTCTGCTCCCGAGGTTGGCTGTGTCACCCACTTCTGCCCTGCCTGACTCTCCTTGTCCTTCCACTGGGAATTAAGCTCTCCGGAGCAGGGCTGGATGGTTTTGGCAGAGGGACAGGTTTCCCCAGCAGGAGGTTTGGAGGGAGGGTCCTGGGCCACATCCTCCTCTCTTTGTAGGTTCTTGTGTTTGTTCTGGAAGGGGATAAACTTCATCTCTTCCATCAGCTACCTTAGTTATCTGTTAAATAAAACAAAGGCAGTAATGGGCTGCCCAGAGAGGTGGTGGAGTCCTCATCCCTGGAGGTGGCCAGGGAATGACTGGACATTGCACTCAGTGCTCTGGGCTGGGAGACAAGGTGGTGTTTGGGCAAAGGTTGGACTCTGGAGATCTTTTCCAATCTCAGTGACTCTGTGGTTCTGTGTTTTTATTTTGTGATGGCTTGAGCATACTGAGGGAGTTAAACAGCCTGGGATGGCCCAGCTGCAGGAGGTTCAGTGAAAGCAGGGGTGTGCTTGCAGGGCAGATACAGCAATGAGAGAGCTACAAACACCCTCAGAGACTGTTAGTCATCCATTTGTTCCAGAGGTGCCTTTCACTACTAGAATGAGAGCCAGTAACAAAGCATTTATTCCTGAGTGTAGATTACAGACTGTGTTTGCACTGGAGATGACTAGCTTTTCTAGTTTAGCCTTGTTCCTTTTCCAGAGATGAGAATTCCAGCTCCCAGGTGCTGCCCACCGTCCAAAACAGCTCCCACCTGAAGCTGCTCTGCAGATAAATATGTCTTTGTGTTAAATTCCTCCCTTACAGCTCCTGTTAATTCTGCACTAGCCAAGGATAACAACACAAGCCAGGTCTCTGTTTAGTATTGAACCTCGGAAAAGCTGTTCCTGTAAATAATTGTTATCAGTATTACTACATTTCTTACGTGCTCTGTAGAACAAGTTCTGCCCAAGGCAGCCAGATCTGAACTGAAGTGGTTGTTTTGTTTTGTTGTGCAGTGTCCAAAAAGCACGGGAAGCTCATCACCTTCCTCCGGACATTCATGAAGTCGCGCCCAACGAAACAGAAACTGAAACAGAGGGGGATCCTCAAGGAAAGGGTGTTTGGCTGTGACCTGGGAGAGCATCTGCTCAACTCTGGCCACGATGGTAAGAAACACTCTGCTCCTGAGCTCTTCCTCCTGTGGGAATCTCATCTCGGGGTGGTTGGAACCACAGAGGGCTGAGGGTGGGTAACGAAAGTCGAGGGGGAAAGAAAAGCTGAGGGGAATGAGGAGCAATGTTGTGGTTTGATGTGGGAAGCGTCGTGGTTCAGTGTGGGAGCACTGCAGATGCCTGGAACTGCTGAAGATGAGTTTTCAACCTCTTGAAGTCTTCAAATAATTCTTTTTTCAGGAAAATAAGTTTTATTTATACATAGGTGTCAGTGATTAATTAACAGGTGTGTTAAATCTCTGTATTTCTCTAACTTGTTACCTTTGTATGATTCCAGCACAATTCACAGTGTAAATCCTTCTTCTGCCTTTTCCCTTGATTTCACAGAATTTACAGGAATTAACTGGGTGTTATTTTTCATCCCAGCTTACTTTTCTCTCTGTTGTGGCGAGATTTCTGGATCCCTTCTCAGTCACTTTCCCTTCCCAATCACCTCTTTAGGGAGACAGAGGAGAAGAGCTCTCCATTCCAAGAAAACTCTTCCTGGGATGAGCTTGGGTTTCATGTGCTTTTTCCTCCCCTCCCCCTGGGCCGTGCCCAGTCCAGGCTGTGCAGGGGAAGTACCTGGAGGTGCCGAGGAGCAAACAGAGCACTTGGATGCTGTCACAGAGACTTGGATGTTGTCACAGGTCACCAGCCAGGCTCGTTCCATTGACAGCCACGCTGAGGGGTGTTTAGCAAAGCAGGATGGAGCAGCCATGGGCTTACCCGGGAGTTAAAGGCATCAGGAAATCAGGGATGGAAGTAGCATCACTGTCTGGCTGTGTCAGTTTGGTCTGTTTGCTGGTTCTGCTCCTTGCAGAGGGTTTGCAGCAGTTCTTGTGCCCGAGTTGTTCATCCGATGTCTCCCAGCTTTTTTGTGCAGGCTGAGGGAGAAGTGATGGAACATTTGGGGCAGGAAGGGAGATTCTATTGTTACTTCAGACTCCTGGTTCATCCAGTGCCTTTTGGAAAAGGGCTGGCAAAGGGCAGGGAGCTATTTCATGCACTTTTTCCCTGGGATTCGGTTGGTAACAGCAGTGTGCCCTCCCTCCCGTGACACAGAGTGTTTTACTACCAGTTAGTGAATAATATGAGCTTGTTCTTATGGAATCAGGGCTGTGGGAAGGCTCTTTGCCCTGTTAATTGGAACCAGTAGGAATCTTTACTGCTGGGGCTTGGAAAGCATCAGAGAGCCAGAACCTGGCTGGTTTGGAGACAGGAACAGACAGTAACTCCTGGAAGAGCTGCAGCAGGAGTTGGGAATTCACACCATGGTAACTATGGAGTTGGGTTTGTGTTCATGCTGTGGGAGCAGCCTTGGAGGGCAGGAGCCATGCCAGCAGTGAGCTCATTAGTGGGAGAAGGAACGTTCCCTTTATCCCCAGCCCTCTCCGTTTTTCGTTAGGCACAGGTCAGCCATGGCTGAAGCTTTGCCCTGCCCTCTCTTCCTCTGCCTTTAAGGGTACGTGTTTTATTTAGCATTAGAAGACACATCTTGAGCTGAACTGCACTGTTCTACCCAGTGTTTGACAGTCTCTGGGAGCTCTGTCCTTGTCCTGGTCACTGCCCACCATCACTCTGCCTGAGCTGTGCTAATGAGGGCCCTGCAGCTCAGAAGTCACCAGTTGCTTTCCCTCTTGATTTAATAACTCTTTCCTAACTCCCTGGAGTGCAGCAGATCCAATTTGAGTGTTGCTAACAGGGGCATGGCTCCGTTTCCCACAGCAGGATTGTTGTTTTCTGGGTGATTCAGCTCCTGACCTGTATTCCAAGTGACGTAATCCCGGGATGGGTTTTGTGGAGATGTTTCTGGGGCCCTGTGAACTGAGCTCTGTGCATGCACAGCATTTTAAGATCCCCTCCTTCTGTAGCATTAATGTGGCTCAGTCCTGGAGCCAGAGGCAATCCTGACCTGCTGAAAGATGTCGGGGAGACCCTGAGGTGAATTAGAGCATAACCAGCACAAAGAATTTTCTGGGAGCACAGAGAACACTGTGGCTGAAGTCTGTGTGTGGTACCTGCTGGTGATGCTTTGGGATCACAATCTAAGTTCAGAAGAACAAAAAGAACCCAATGTATTCATTGCTTTGTTTAAGTGAATTCTAGTTTTGGTAGGTCAGTGTCCAATACCCAGAAATATTTAGCAGGACTGAAGGAGCAAATGACACCATGCCCAGAGACTGGACCGAGTGACGTGCTGACATTGAACCAAACTGGAGTTATGTTAAGAATTTTATTAATTATCAGCTTTAGGAAGCTGACAAAGCCTAAATTCTCAAAAACGTGCTGTAAAACATGAGTTTTGCAGTCATGAATATTTGAAACTTTGCTTGTCTTTCAGGTGGGAATTGGTGAGTGAGAAGCGGAACGAGAGAATAAAAGGGATGAGGACAAAACCTGCAATAGGTGTAACATTTTTTTAATAAAGCCTCTGCTGAGGCAGCTGGCTCAGAGTGCTTAGGCAGGAGAGGAGTGTGTTTGCTCTGTGCCCAGAGGGGGACTGACAAACACAGAGATGTTTTACCTCCTGCAGTACCTTGTCTTTCTGTGGGCTCAGCAAGTCCCTGCTCGTTCTGCAGCCGTCCAGCCTTGCTGGGAGGGAGAATAACTTGCCATGAGCTGCACAGGAGGAAAGTGATGCAGAACTGTGACCTGGTTTGATGGTATAGAGCAGGATCCCATCCTGCAAAGCTCCACCTTCAGCACACGCCGAGCTCTGACCTAGCAAAGCCTTTGCTGTGGTTTACCTGAGGTTTTGGAATGTGGCTTCCCTGAGTTTTTGGGGTGAAGCCAATGCTGTCCCTGCTGGCAGGTGCCTCTCAGGCTGGCAGGACAGAGCATGCAGCTTCTGAACTTTGGGACAGGATGGTCTGTGCCCAGAGATTGTCCTCGGGGAGGGTGTCTGGGTGAGGTGGGATGGATGGAGCAGGGGCTGGTGGTGCTGCTGCCTTGGTTGCTATTGGTGAGGAGGTGGTTGTCATTTCCCTCTGTGCTGGGTGGATCTGAGCAGTGACACTGAGCAGGAACAGGGAGGGAGGTGAGGATTTGAACAAGTGTTTGCAAGAACAGTGTGAGGGACGAGGCACCTTCAAATCCTCCTGTGTGCCTGGTGATTCATGGTGGGGATTGAGGTGATCTCTGGGCAGTGTCCTGGGGTTTGGTGTGTTTGTTGTTTAATTCCAGTTTGTGTTGTGCTGACACTGAGCTCTCCAAACAGTGCTGGAGCCCCTCTGGGGTAGGAGTGCCACCTCCTGTGGTGCCCAGCAGTCCTTTCCCCAAGGCCCTGGGAGAGCAGTGAGGGGAAGGAAGCTTCACTGTCCAGTCTCTCAGGTGAGGTTCTGAATCATGGGCAGATCACAGGATTATTTTCCAAAATCATTTGTGTTCCAAGCTGCTTGGGGTAGTAGGAATTAGGAGCCTCTGTGCTCCAGGTGTGTTGCTCCCAGTGAAAGTCTCAGCAGTCAGTGCCTTGGTTCATCTCCTGTCACATGTCAGCACTGACTGATGGGCTGGGCCGTGCAGGAGTAGAACTGGTTTTGATAAGGAGGGATTTTGAGCTCCTCTATTGGGTCTAAATCTGGCACAGCCTGTGGTGATGCTCCCTTCAAGTATGTTGGTTTGCACAATATTTCTCCAGTCGGCTCTGTCTGCATCCCATCCCAGTCCTTACTCATCCCTTGGCTCCTGCTGGGGTTGGATCCTTCCCCTGCCAGGGCAGTGTCAGTTGGAAGCAGCCCAGGCTCAGCAGGGAGGATCTGTTTCTTCATCACCCTCAGAGGTGCTCCCAGTTGGTTTGGAGCTGTTCACACCTGCCATGGTTTGGTTTTCCAGAATCACAGAATATCCTGAGTTGGAAGGGACTCACAGAGCTCATCAGTCCAACTCCTGGCCCTGCACAGACACCCCAACAACCCCACCCTGTCCCTCAGAGCGTTGTCCAAACCCTCCTGGAGCTCTGGCAGCCTTGGGGCTGTGCCCACTGCCCTGGGGAGCCTGGGCAGTGCCCAACCAGCCTCTGGGGGAAGAACCTTTGCCTGAGATCCAACCTGAGCCTGCCCTGACACAGCTCCAGCCATTCCCTTGCGTTCTGTCACAGTTCTCTGGAGCTGTGAGATGCAGCAAATTCACCCTAATCCCTGACTCCTGAAGAGACCTTGGTCTTGTTCCCTTTTTAGGTGGACATTCTTTTTTCCCCCAGATTTTTTTCTCCCGAAGGAAACCAAACAGGCCTTAACTTTAGCTCGAGCCCAGTGAGAAGGTTGTGCTTGCAGAGGGTGTTTGCTGAGCGTGGGAGCTGCTGAAGTGCTGCATTGCAGCATCTGCTCCATGGCCTGGTTTGTGCCTCAGAATATTTCCACCCAGAGCTCCCCCAGAGCCCAGGTGTGTGACACATGTGGGAGAGCAGGGATGTGAGGAGGGATGTCCTGCTGGGCTGCAGAGGGGCAGTGCCTGGGGAGCTGGGCACGTTCCTGGAGCTGGTGGAGGTCCCAGGGTTACAGAGCTGCCGTTCTGCTCCCTCGGGATGGGTCGGCAGCACCAGGGAAAAGCCACGATCCCCTCGTGGGAAGGAGGGAATCCTGAGCTGCAGCACAGGAGGGGTTACTGTACTTCTTATTCAAATGCTCTGGGAATGATGTGCTGGGATTGCTTGGACTGCAGCGGATGGGGGATAGAATCCTGCCTGTTCTCCCCAGCAGATATTCCTGTCGCCTGGCACTTGTTGGGAATGACCCTTTCGCTCCCAGTGTTTAGACCAGAGCACAGGCTTAGCCCTGGTGCACCTCAGTATGGTAATGTCAAGTGTTCACCTCGAGGGATAATCCATCCCCACAGCCCAGCTGCATCCACAGAGGATTTTGTGGGCTAAAAGCAAATGGCATTTTTTGTACCTCTTTATGTCTTTGTCACATTGATACATCCCTAGCTTCTGTCAGGGGAAAAGATAAATTGAG